ACGCGCACGGAACCGGCTGCACCGACGGCGCCGCGCGATCGGAACGGTTTGTTTTCCAGACAGTGATATTCAAATTGTTTTCGGGGATCTACGGGCGTGGAAACTTTCGCGGAACCGCGGCCGCGTTTGTTTTCGTCTCTGCGTCTAGGCAAACGCGCACCCGTTCGCCGGCGAAGAAAGTCCCGGGCTTCGGGACAGTAGACTTCTATGAATGGGTAAGAGAATATTGAGAATATTGAATGCACGTGCGGCGTCTCCTTTGTTACTTTACAGGAAACTTGTTTGAAGTGATACGTCCGCGAGGTTATGTAATAAATCTTTCGTATCCTGTGCGCACAAGTATGAGCTTTATCTTACGTAGCATTAACGACGTATGCGAGGAGTACAATGCAGTACATAGTTGAAAGATTATCGTAATTATTTTCTGATAAGTCTGTAGTATTCCGTAGGTAAATTTTCCTCAATTTTGGGCTGATTGTCAGCAATTATAAAAACGAGAAGGCTCGAATAATCGTATTCTCCTCTTCCAAAATTGTCCGTTTTTCTGCACAATCGCAAATTAAAAAGAATTTACTGTACATTGTGAAATCTACAAATTTTTGAACGCGATCAACGTCCAATCACAATTGATAATCTTACGCATTGAAAAATGAAGTCGGGGTATTAGTGTAAATTGGTTAATATACTATTTAGTATGATCAAAAACGTGATTACAGTAAATTCTCCCAGATTGTCCCTCGGCTTCGAAACAAAAATGGAGAATTTGGGAAAGGAATACACGATTATTTGAGCCTTGAGGCTTGTTTTTATAGTTGTTAATAATCGGCTACTATAAAAACATGCATAAACCAGTTATAAGAGCACAATACAAATGAATAATAATAATAATAATATTAGAATGAATCTTTTAACGCGTATCTTTGAAATATTAGTGCTGATTATGATGAGTTAATAAATCTTTTAAAAATCAGAAATTAATAACTCGAGGAAAATTATAAGTATGGTAGAAATGATTTTGTCAATAGTCGCAGAAGTTTTTCAAATAATTATCGGTACAATAAATTCTTCCCAATTTGTCTTCAGCTTGTAAGCAAAAATGGAGAATTTGGGACGAAGAGATACGATTATTCGAGGCTCGCGGCTCATTATAATTATAAAATATAATTAATATAATAATAATATATAATAATATAAACAACAATTATAAAATGAGCTGCAAGACTCGAACAATCGTATCTCCTCCTCTCAAATTCTCCATTTTTGTGCACAATCTGTGCGTCAATCAGAGAGAATTCACTGTATTTTCATTTCCTATTGCCTCCTTTTAACGTGTCTGCATATTTTCAACGAATTTACATCAGAAACACTATCATCGCATCTTTTTATCTCGCTGTTGAATCGGTAAAGAATTCTCATTGTCCGATATTCTTCGTTACTTCTCAGCAGAAACTTTTTATTACATACCTAGCACATTGTTTATTTAGATGGTCGTTCGTTATACTTCCACCAGCTATTGTTTTATTGTACGCGCAAGTTTTCTTTTCCGATCTCTGATGTGCATAAACTTTTTGCAGCTGTTACCTCGACGTTAAAAGACTGATTGGAAAGTCTCGGAGATACATTTCTTAATTGAAGTTCTCCGGACTGATAACTTAACTAGATTCAGAAACAGGACGAACTTTTCTCATCCTGAATATAAGAAATGCAACAGCAATCGTATTAAGTGAAAAGGAGGGAGTGGAAAAAGTCTGTCACACACGAACACCGGATTCGATTCGTATCGAGTAATACACGAGTCTGAGAAATGTTCTACTTCGAGTAGTATGATAAACGTAATACGTTTCAACTCGTAACTGTCGTAAGATTTGTGAGACCAGGCGTACAGTAGCGAGGCTAATTAACGTAATTGATTCGATGATTTGTCAGGCTCGTGCAATACAATATTAATATTATCGGACAATAATATTATCAATTACAATGAATTATTATACAGGGTGTCCCAAAAATGCCTCGCAATCCGAAAGTGGCGGGTTCCTCAGGAGGACAAAAAATAAATTGGAACAGTGTAGTAATAATAATCTTTTATCCCCTTCCTCTTCGTTATTCGGCACGGTGGCTTAACTGTAAAAAATGGACCGGACTTTTATCCGACTTAATACATTTAAGGACATAAAAAAAAAAGTTTCAGTCCCGGCATAAAGAATTTATGACTCGATTTTTCCGTGAAAGTGATCCGATGCCCGCGCAAGGGTTGCAAAATCTAGTTTACTTTGCCGATACACCATTTTCACGCAAAACCTTTTAACCTGTTGCACCTTCCGTCGCAGAACATGTACTCTCTACGCTTTTCAATCGCGCGCGGTCACCTTGATCATTTCAATAATCATCCGCGTAGCTCCACGATAAGATTCAGCGTTAGGAAATAATTCTTAGATCTTCGAAAACCTACGAAACAGTCGCGGCTAGGCGTTGTACAGTCCGGGAGGAAATTATATGTCGCGATCGCACAGCGAAATTTTACACTCCCGAATCGGCGGAGATTTATTATTGTTGCCATGACGTTCAAGGTCAATTCCCTCTGGCCCGAATTGTATTCTATTCGTCGCGAAACAATCGGTCAAAAGTCCGCTGTCCACATAAAAAAAAAATCTACGTCGAAGTTCCGGTGATTTTTGAACGCGTTGTTGTTTCACGGAAAATCAATCCGGAAATCAATTAGCAAAATTTATTATTATTCAGGGAAAAGAAATGCTCTCGAATTCCTTTTGTTCCGTCAATCGCGCGTTATTTATTCTATACTTGATCGTTAAAATATAAGAGCGTTACAAATGCTGCGCATAAAAAAGCGTCGGAACTTTAGCGTCGTTTCTTTTTTTATGCGAGCATTGACTATGGATCTATTGTTTCGATCGTCGAGACGAACGGAATACAATTCAAGCGAGAGAAAAATTAATCGTGAATATATCATGGTCGAGATAAATTTTACAGGCATTTTCTGCGCCTGTCGTGACGTATCAGATGGATAAGTGTGAAATCCATACTTTACTCGATAATTTTGCAATAAAATTATAGGTATAATTATATATAATTATACATAATGATAAATTATATTTAATAATCATATATATATATATATATAATTATACTTAATAATAAATTATATTAAATAATCATATATATATATAATTATGCATAATAAATTATATTAAATAATTGTATATAATTGTATATAACAATAGATTATATTAAATAATTATATATATAATATTATATATAGCAATAGCTTATACTAAATAATTAAATATATAATTGTAAACATAATTTCCTTCCGCCGAGCAACAACGAACACATTTCTCGGCCGAAACGCCGAGAGATCGTCCCAGGCAAAATTCACCCAGGCGATCTCTCCTACAAAGCGGCGACCGGAGCTGGAATCTCGTCCGAAGCCAGCGACGCAAAAGCATCGAGTTTTCCCGTCGCGCGGCGCGGGAAGTTCTAGCGAGCGTAGGCGAGGCGTCGCGATACGCTCCCGTCGGAATTCATCCGTGAACTCCGACTCCGAAACCAGGCAGCAGCTGTTCCCCGAGCGAGCATCGCCGCCACCGCCGCCACCGCCGCCGGGGCGATATAACCCGTCGAATTAGCGGGCGCGCGTACAAGTTCGCGAAGAATGGACACCGCGCGCGCGGCGTGTTGCCGCTTCTAACGAGCGCGGCAACACCCGAGGCGCCTTGTTTCTTCGCTCGTTAGAGCGGCCTGCCATCCGGCGAGAAGGTCAAAAGTCAGTCTCGAGGGGAAAACGAGCGGCGGGGAAGCGGCGCGGCGGACGCGGGCGCGGGACGGGGGACGGAGGAGGAGGCGTTTGATAAAGTGGTTGACGGCCGATGACAAGTTAATATCGGGCAAACGGCAAGGTGGCCGGAGGGCTCGCGCGACCGCGAGCCAATAATTCGTAATGGACAGGACACGTCCTCTGGCGTCGGATGATCTCCCATACCCGCGGAGGGGTTGGCTATGTGTTTGTCCCCCGGTGTTTCCCGGCCATGCTCCGGATTCCCTTGACCTCGAAAATCCTTCGGGACTCGCCCGACGAGTCAGGGTCGTGCGGATCCCCATCGTCCCTCCGTTCCCCTCCCGGCCCCTCGAACGCCCTTCTTTTCCTTTACCCCGGTCGGCGCGGCTCCTTCGTCCCTCGCGTCCTACGCGCGACCTTCCGTTCGTCCTTGCCCAGGACGCTCGCGCGGCCGTGCGGCGCGCACGATTTCTCTGGGTGTCCCGCGGAAACACGATGCTCGCGCGCGCCAACACGCATGAGCGACACGCAAACAGCACGGCGAGAAGAAGAGGACACGAGCGAGCCTCTGGAGTCCGTGAGAGGTAACGAACAATCGGACCGAGCCGAAGAAGACAGGAAGAAGAGGAGAAGAAGAGCGGAGTGGGAGGAAGGGGAAGAGGAACCGCTGGAAGAAGGAGAAGGGAACGTCGGCCGACGGGAGCTGGAGAAAAGAGGACGCCGCGTGAGACGCCTGAGCGCTGGAACTCTGTGTATAACCCGTGCAGAAAGAGAGAGAGAGAGAGCGTTATGCTAATGGTCATCCTGGAAGGAAGCTTCCTTCGCGGCTCGATTACGCACGGCGTTAATCGATGCGATCGGTTAATTGAACCGAGGACTGCCTTCTACGGGAAAATTCGAAATGCCCGATCCGACGGCTACCGAGTCGATCTACGCGAGTCTACGGGGATCGATGTCGATCTTGTTGTACAGGCCTGGTTGAACGCTCGGCTCTAGGAAAGTCTCTCGTCGCAGGTAATTTGTACGGTTAACGCGCGTCAAGGTTTCGGACGGGACGCGACGCGTGTCCGTGACGTCCAGTGACCATGGACGGATGTCTGGCGCACGCACGCATGCACGCACGCACGCACGACACGCGTACTACAAACGTACACCGCGCGTCCAGCGAACGCGATGTCTGCTCTGTGTTACGATGTGTTCGCCTTACCGTGTGCGAAATGACCGGCTGTACGACGACGACGAGGACGACGATCGGGCCACGATCCGTACATATTCTCTTGCACGGTACCCCCTCGCACCGGGCCCCGACACTGGATCACGGGAATGCAGAGACCACCACCACCGTCCAATGGCTCGCGGGAAAATAAAGAAAAATAAAAAAAAAACACGAAGCCGCCGACCGGACAGTTGTGCGAGGAGCACGCGTTTCCTCGGTGCGACACCACTGGACGCCTTTCAGGCGCGGCGGAAGAAACTGACGGTGCGGCACCGTCTGTTGACGGGCAAGCCACCAGCCTGGCTCGATACCGTCCGTTTCTTCTCTGCGCGCATGTGCCGACGTCGAGCGACTTGCCATCGCCGCCTCTGTTCCCACCGTGCTCCGCCGGCAAACAGGGTCCCTCGACGACGGATCACTCTAGCCGGAGTGATCGCGATTTCGAGCATTTCGCGCGCGGGAAATATCGGTGATTTGTTTGGAAAGATACACTTTTTTTAACTGTTTGATGTATTGTTTTCTTCGTGGTTACTAAGATTGGGAATTTTTCGATTGGAACAATTTATTAGGAGGGAAAGAAAATTGATGTGTAAATTAATGTATATACGTATACATTTATATTTGATATATTTTATATATATATTATATTATATTATGATATTTTATATATTTTATGTATAAATTAACTAACTAAAATTAATTTAATTGAATGTTTAAATATTGATGATAAGAGATTAGAATTTTATTCCAATTTTAAGGGACAGAATGACATCTATACTCGACAAATTATTAATAGAAATTTTAACGACGAGTCGTACTCGTCGAAGTACGACAAGGGGTTAAGAAACATTTAATATTTGAAAAAAATAATGATAAGATTTTGATAACAAGTACACGACGAGTATCTGTAGGATTTCAAAAGGGAATTCTTTCAAATTTCTTTAACAATTCCGCGACAGGCGATAACCGAAGAAATTGTTTATATAGCTGTATACTAAATTAAATTTTTGCAAATTTGTAACTCAGTCTGGGAAGGTTCTCTTAGTTGTAGATATATGTGAATAGAAAAAGCGGTATATCCGAGAATGATGCTTTTAGTCGTTCATTATCCGATATTTGTAAACATTTAACATTACCAACTGCCTATAGAGAAAGTATTTTCTAGACGTTGAACTATTTTTCCCGTAGACAGTTAAAAATTTTGAAATGACGTAGAACATTAAATGCGTTAGCTTTTTTGCAACACAACAAAATGTTAATCGATTAGTTGCATTAAACAAATAAGTTAGGTAAAAGTCCAATGTATTCGGTTTTATGTCCTACTGCACCACTTTAATTGTAATTAAATTTCTTCTTCTTCTTCTTCTTACTACTATTGTTGTTACACAACTTATTATTCTTAATGTTATATTATATACCAACGTCATTTGGCGATCATCGCTTTTTCATTGAACACCAACGTCATTTCATTATCTTCTTATCGAACATCCTGAAATCTTCTTTAAGCCATGATTTCACCCTTGACTCATCCTCAAACTCTGCTTCATCCTCGACCTCTGTCCTTACCGTATTATACCTGAACCTTTTCCTCGCCAGGTCACACTAACCCTTGTGATTTTCTAAACCCCTCACGGCTCAGGTAAGAACATCGACTTTCTCTGAACTCAGAGCCCTTCAAAACCTGCAGCAGTGCAGTTTTCTTCAAAACGTGCCGAGATAATATTATTATATTATTGATATATATTACATATCGATAATAATTGATATCATTAATAATTTATTATCGATATGTAATATATATCAATAATATAATAATATTATCTCGGCACGTTTAATAAATAAATAGTTCCTGTAAATTTCATTGATGAATTGAATTTCCTGAATTTCAAGATCGACCAAATTGTAGTATGGTTTCTAAAGCAACGTTAGCCATTGCTCATTTATGTTCATAAATGTATACATTATACAATGTAATTAGTGATACTACCAAGAGATATATGAGGGGAACGGGGGGTCCTGCATGATGCAAAAATTAAGACGAAATCGTAGAACAAGATTTCATCGATACTCTATTCGACATTTCGCGTTCAAGGACAATGTGTTCAAGTATCTACAAGAAGCATTCCTAATAGATCGTAAACGGACGCGGCAACCGATTCCCGTTCAAATAATGCACGCGCATTATGAAACGCGCACGTGAAAAATACCTGTTTGATAAGTTTTTGTACGTTTCATCGAACGGGTATGTTATAACAGTTAAGACGACCGCGATCAATAATTAGCAAGTTAACGAATCGAACACGTGTGACGCACACGTGTCAAGAGATAGGGTCTCGAATGTCGAATTCATCGGCTGCGTGACGCTATTTTTTTTTTGTTCACAGCATCCAAAGATCCGCGGAGAATTTCGTTTTCTCGCGGATCCAAGAACGTGCGTTGTAAACGAATTCTTTTCTCTCTCTCTCTCTTTTTTTTTCTTTTTTCAGGGTAGCCAGATCTGGACAGAATATTTTAGCCGCGGGCAGAAAGTTATCGGAAACAGTAAATCCCGAATGGTATTCGGGGAAGAAACTAGGAAGTATTATTTTTATGTTTATCCAGTCGAGTCTCGGAGTCTGTGTAATAACAAGATATTTCGAAAAACTAAACTCTTTTAAATCCGGCACATTCACGCACGAACTTCTGCGCAGTTCGATCCGAAGAATTCGAGCTGCAACGACGAATGGAAACAGTTTTTTTCTTTTTTCAGTCGGAGTGCGCGGGTCATAAATTTTTTTACGATACTAACAATTTTACTGCATTTACTTTCCAAGTTATACTCGGCCTCGCGATGTTTCGCTTGACCGTGGAATTTCGTCGGGCCATGCGATGCGATGGCTGCCGTGGAATCGGCAACGGAAGAATTGCGGAGAATCGTCGGAACGTTGATACGTTTAGCATTCGATTCACTTTAAACGAACAATCGAAGCTAATCGATCGTTTCACCAGTTAGCTGTGGCGCCTCTTTTTTAGAAAGCGTATCTACAGGGTGTCCCAAAAATGTCTCGCAATCCGAAAGTGGCGGGTTCCACGGGTGATTCGAAGCAACTTTTTCCTTTACAAAAATTTTCTCCGAGGCACCGTTAACGAGTTATTAACGAAAAACAGTGACCAATGAGAGGCGAGCTCAGCTGGCGCGAGGCGACCGAGCCAGTGGGCGGAACTGGACTTCGTGCGCTGGTTGGCTGGGCCGCCTCGCGTCAGCCGCACTCGATTCTTATTGATCACTGTTTTTTCGGTAATAACTCGTTAACGGTGCCTCGGAGAAAATTATTGCAAAGGAAGAAGCTGCTTCAAATAATCCGAGGAACCCGACATTTCTGGATTACGAGACATTTTTGGGACACCCTGTATATTAACACTTTGCACGTCGAACACCAATATCGTGATTCTTTTCTAATCTTATTTTTATAGCAATGTAAACACCTTCGTGCAGGATTCGCCTGAAAATATTCTAAACATCTTGAAATTTGAGAATATGTTTTTCTTTTCACTAAAATTACAATTTAAATAGCCAATGGTCACTACTTTTTACGCACGACGAGTATACTCGTCGTGACGCAAAATACTGTCGCTTCTCCATGACGACTATACTCGTCAAACACAGCTAAATTTAAAAGATTAAGGGAATTCCTTATTTTGAAGGGAGGTCACTACTCGACGAGTATACTCGTCACGGTACAAAATATTTCCACTTCTCCATGACGAGTATACTCGTCGTGCGTAAAAAGTAGTGACCTCCCTTCAAAATAGTGAGTTCGCTTAACCCAGTTAGCTGTGTTTGACGAGTATACTCGTCATGACAGAAAATACAGCCACTTCTCCGTGACGAGTATACTCGTCAAACACAGCTCTCTAACAGATTAAGGAAACTCCCTACTTTGAAGGGAGGTCGTTACTTTTTACGCATGACGAGTATACTCGTCGTGACATAAAATACTGTCGTTTCTCCATGACGAGTATACTCGGCGAACACAGCTAACTGGTTAAGGAAACTTCGCGAACAGCCATAAAGAGCACCGTCTCCTAACGCGCTATATGTTATATAAAACATGCAAAATAAATCCATAAGTAATGCGAACGTGTTCGATGACACAAGGTCGACCCGAGGAATACACGCTGTTTCACGCAATTGCTCGTCGTATCTCGCGTTCAAATAAAATACAGCTGCGCTTACCGCGTGCGCGTCCCGGCACTTCCGTGTCTGGGGCACTTACATACAGTATCATTCATTCTCCTTCGAGGTTGCGGGATACCGAAATTACACCAGATGTGTGGGAAGCTCGTTTCGGACCCAGTATATTTAGATTCTTATAGTGCACGATAATTAGAAGCCCAGGCAATTCCAAGGACGCTCGAATAGCGACGGCTTGTTAAATATTTAAACGCGCACACCGTAATATCCCTTCCTGGATCAAACAAAAAAACCAGCAAGCTCGAGAAACGCAGGCGAGCATTTTTTGTTCGATTTCACGGACGCGTAGGTCCGGACGAATCCGGGCCACCGGTAATCAAAATCGTGTCTCTGCGACCACTTTTTCCTGCTGGAATATCCCGCCGTGTCATCGAGCATATTCGGTAAATTTTTACCACGTTTTTCCTTTGGTAAAACAGAAATGGACAATTTGGGGAGACGAGATACGATTATTCTAGTCTTGCGGCTCATTTTTACAGTTGCTGATTGTTAACTATTGTAAAATTCTATTTAAGTCTGTAAAATAATAATAATAATATATTATAATAACAGTACTAATATGTAATAGTAATAATAATAGTACATAATAATAACAGTAATAATAATAATATATAATAATAACAGTACTAATATATAATATATAATAATAGAACCAATATATAATAGTAATAATAATAATAATAATACATAATAATAGTATCAATATATAATAGTAATAATAATAGTACTAGTATATAGTAATAATAATGATATAAAATTCCACATAAAGTCTATACAAAAGACCATTTTTGTTACCAAGCCGAAGGAAAATTAGGGAGAATTTACTGCATTGTTATTGTAATTTCCAAGACACTCCTTTCCAGCTTGCGGAACCATTGAATTACCGCAGCTGCGCCGAAGAGTTCACGTGAGATTGATATTTCCAACAACGCATCATCGGTGAAACGTGGAACCGTATCGTTGTTTCGCGTGCACTTAGCCGAACAGAATCGGGAAAGAATTGTCCGCGTATGAACACGCGGGCCGACGATGTATCCGATGGCGTTCCGGTGAGAGAATGGAAGTCCGAATCGGACGAGATATAAATACATACATACATACATACATACATACCCTTCCGTGTGAATAGAGCGAAGTCAGTCAAGTCGGTTTCCGATACTTTTACGGGCCGGTCATATGTAAATAAATATGCCACTCTGATCCGCGGGCACGGTAATAAAAATAAAATATGATCGCGACTATATTAGCGTTCAGCCGACCGGGGCAAAAGGTGAGACGCTTCTTCGTTAGATTTTTTACCTTTTACAACGAATGCTGGACACGTGGCTCTCGCCTCGATAACGATGAACCGTTGCACTTATGTAGTTCGATTTTTTGCTTCCGGTGCTCGCAGAGGAAATCGGGGAAAATGGAAATAGATTCCTAACGAAGCGAAGTTTCCCTCGGCGAGCTTGTATAGCGTTTGGATATTCTTGCGTAAGGTCAAGCGGCACGGTCGTTCGAGAGCTGTACGTGCCATGGAGGTCCCACAATTTGCGTCTGACAATGGTGTCTAAGCCATAAAAATGCCTCGAACGTCGTTGCTTTGTCAACCGGCAATTGCTTGATTATTCTTGGCCCAGCTACGGTTTCGAGCACGCTATGTTTAGGACCTATTTCAAGATTTAACAGAGCCGGAAACTTCGTCGCTAAATCTAGTTAGTCTGACACGCGACGTTGTCCTTAATCTTCGTTACCTAAGGGAAGGACAGGTTAACTTCGTTCCGGATTTCGTCAACCTCGCAGCGCGATGTGTCGGGACCCGTTACGGACGACAGGAGAGTGCAAGAGAGTGCAGTTGTCTATCAGCCGAGCACGTGCAACGATCGGTGTCGATTTCGTTCAGAAACGCTCCGCTGAAAGACGCCAAGACGCTCCGCGAAAGTACGACCGCGCGCGTCGGTACACTGAAACACAGTAGTGTGGTAAATTAATGGTAATATAAATAGTATAATAATATAATAATAATAGTAATATACAATAGTATAGTAAATTTTCCCTAATTTTTTCTTGAGCTTGAAGACAAAAATGGAGAATTTGGGAAGAGGAGATGCGATTACAGTAATTTCTCCCTAACTCGCGCTCAGATTGACATAACCGCGCGCGTCGGTACACTGAAACACAGTAGTATAGTAAATTAATAGTAATATAAATAGTAATGTAATAATAATAGTAATATAAAATAGTATAGTAAATTTTCTCTAATTTTTTTTTTGAGCTTGTAGACAAAAATTACGAATTTGGGAAGAGGAGATACGATTACAGTAATTTCTCCCTAATTTGCGCTCAGATTGACATAACCTTAACATAACCGCGCACGTCGGTACACTGAAACACAGTAGTATAGTAAATTAATAGTAGTATAAATAGTAATATCATAATAATAGTAATATAAAATAGTATAGTAAATTTTTCCTAATTTTTCTTAAGCGAAGCCCTACTATCATTTCCGTATCGCGATCGTCGTTGCCGATATTTCAGAAATTTAAACTTCTTAGTGAGAATCGAGTATTCCGTATACCTCGTTTGTACTACGGTACGTTTCATGACTGGGAAGCAACAAACATTTATTTGTTGTTGACGGCGAAGCATTCTACCCTCGTTTCATAAAGCGTAACAATTCTAAATCCGAGTCCGCCTAGTCACTCTCTTACGGTAAAGTAGAATACAGGTAGAATACAAATTCTACTTTACCATAGAAGACTTAGCAAATGAAATGAAATCGAACTGTTGCTAGTTGCAAATTATAACAGACGCTTTGTATGATTTTTAGTAAAACGTTGCATAAAGTTCGGGTTAAGCCTAAATAAATGCAATATTATAATTCTTATAAGGTATATTAGATTAGTCACTCTTAATGTTCTAGTGGTTATTATTGCATAATCTTGTTTAGAATTATTTAAAATTTATATTCTACTTTACCGTAGAAAAGTTAGCAAATGAAATGCAATTTTTCTAGATCAATACCAATTATTTCTTTGCGTTTACAACCGAAATTAGAAGGATTATAAAAAAGAAAGAATATAAGAAAATAATGTTAACATATCGAAAACAATTTATATAGAAATCACTTTATTAAAAATCTTTACTCTTACACGTAGCAAGTTTTATATCCTAGTTTAAAATTTTTAGTAGAAATTCTAGTTGTGCAGCTGTCAGCACGATTTTCTAGTATTATATTTTATAAGGATTTATCGATCTTATGGTTATAATATATTTGCCGTTCCAATTTCTGACACGTGTCGCAGTAGAAATGAGGTATACCTAATGCCCTATTCTTACCAAGAAGCTCAAACGGAAATGCCGGTAACGACGAGTGTGCACGGAATCAATAATAGGGTGCTAGCACCCTAATTTTATGTGACAAGAAATACATTAATTAATAACTCTAATCGTATACCTCGCCTGTGTAAAAAAAGATACCATTGTACGGTATTTCGTGTTTTCCAGGTTCGACTGTTTTACCGACTCGATATTTTATGACTGATTCCAGCGACCTCTTTTCATGGACAAGGGTTTCCTAATGGATTCACTAATGTAATTTTGCTCGATATATGAAAAGTCTGCGCGAGTAATAAATGAATGTTGGCACAGTCGTCTCTCAACAATTGAGAATTGCAAAATGATGCCTGTGACAGAAGCAGAATGTTTACGCGCTGCAAGATTTATTTACTTGTCCGAATCATACTAAAACTTTGTATCGTGATTGTGGTTTATGTTTTCATTGTGTGTGATATCATTGTCTTATACCATATCTATGTAAATATCTGTAACGAGGCATTATGTCATCCAAAGGTCATCATGCAGTAGGTCGTTGAATTCGTCTCGACGTCGCCTACAATGCTATGAGGTTAGAATTACCCAGTTCCGTTTAAAAATATAACGGCGATCTTGTTTTTTTTATCGAAAATCAATTCCTTTTTAAATTTAAACAATTGCAATTTCTCGTCAAGGTTAAATACTAATTAACTTTAATAAANAATATAATATACATAATATAATATAATATAATATAATATAATATAATATAATATAATATAATATAATATAATATAATATAATATAATATAATA